CTGCACTGAGCCAGATGAAGCGCCAGGTTTGAAGAGCTCAACAATGGTTTCAGACTCTGAAGCCCGTCCTTTTTTTTTTAACATACCAATACATGCATTTTCATTCTTGAAGACGATACATATTGAACTTCTCTAAGTAGGTCTACCTAAACTATCTTTGGATCTCTTGGCAAAAAAAAAAAGAGAGAAAGAAAGAAAGAGAGAGAGAAGAGAGAAAGAAAAAAAGAAGAGAGAGAGAGAGAGAGAGAGAGAGAAAGAAAGAAAGAAAGAAAGAAAGAAAGAAAGAAAGAAAGAAAGAAAGAAAGAAAGAAAACACTAGAACAATAAACCCGCAATATTATGAGTAGGTCCCAAGAAAAAATGTATAGTGTAGTCAATTTCTAAAATAATTAGAAGAGGAAAAAGTCATCACAACAATATACTAAATTTACTTTTATTACAGGTATAATTTTCCATAATACAAAATGAGTGACTAGACATTGTTTAATTTGAGTTTCTTCTGAAAAATTATTGCAAATAAATGACTAATCATTTAGGTAAAAACTAAATTAATAAAATTCCGTTTGTCAGATACATATAAACAACAGTCAACTTATCTATTGGCAGAAAAAGGTTTTTGTTGCTGGTGTTGGAAGATTTGATTTGTATTATTTGGGGAAGGGGTGTTGAGTAGTAGATAGGTACAAAAGCAATGTCTTAAACTGTATATACATGGTCATGATAAAAATATAAGTAAAATTATGTTGCTTTTTAAATCTCTGCCAACAGATAAAGAAGCAATAGTTTTTTTAAGTAATATCTCAAGTATAAATACTGATGTTAAGCTTACTGTTATATTAGATGACAAAGCAAGAAATAGAATTCTAAAAAATTATCAGTGTTATACAGATTAATTCTATAGAATCTTTTTTTTAATCAACTGATAAATGAGGTCATGTGAATAGTTAAACCACTTTTTAAAACATTTTATCACATCCTGGTTGGTATGGCTCAATGGATTGAGTGCCAGCCTACAAACCAAAAGATTACCATTTTGATTCCCAATCAGGGTACATGCCTGGTTTGCAGGCTGAGTCACCACTTGGGGGCCTGTGAGAGGCAGGCAACCTGATCAGTGTATCTCTTACACATGGATATTTCTCTCCATCTCTCTAAAAATACATAAACAGACCTGGCTGGTATAGTTCAGTGGACTGAGTATGGGCCAATGAACCAAAGGGTCCCTGGTTCAATTCCTAGTTAGGGCACATGCCTGTGTTGCTGGCCAGGTGCCCAGTTAGGGGTATGCAAGAGACAACTACACACTGATGTTTCTTTCCCTCTCTTTCTCCTTCCCCTTCCCTCTTTCTAATAATAAATTAATAAAATCTTTAAAATAAAAAAATAAGAATAAAAATAAATAAAATCTTTAAAATAAAAACCATTTATCTTATTAGTAAAACCAATAGAAAAACATCTTAACTCTCATTTGCATGTTCTAAAAAATACTGTAATTTATAAGCCAATTAACGTGCATTTTGTTTTCTTTTGGTTTAGCATAAATTTATACATTATAATATTATAAGACTTAATAAAATTACAAAATACATTTTTGATAATGAGAAAAGTCTAAGCAAAAAATTAAAAGGGTTTTGTTTTTAATTTAAAATTTATTAATTTATTTATTTTCATTGTTGATACTATTGCAAATGTCCCCATTCCCCACCTCTACCTGCCTCTACCCAACCGCACCCCCGCACAGCTGTCCCCCACACTTTCATCCCTGTCTATGGGTTTACATACATATTGTTTGGCTAATCCCTTCACCTCCCTTCACCTGCTCCTTCCTTCCCATCTCCCTTCTGACAAATGTCAGTCTGTTCCAGGCCTCGGTTTCGATTTTGTTGCTCAGTTTATTTTGTTTCTTAGATTTCACATATAAGTGAGATCATATGGTATCTGTCTTTCTCTGACTGATGAGAGGACAAAAAAAACCCATTTTATGTAAATAAGGGAAAAACATAATGCAGAACCCATTAATTGTGGTTTTAAGAAAGGAATGGTTAGTTCAGTTATATAAGGAAGAGCATGTTATCATCATCAAAGTTCTATGTTCTACATGGTCATTAAATAAATACTCTGGCATTTATATCAAAAGAAATGTTCTTTTAAATGTATTATTAATACAAAATTTGGGTTCTACTCTTAATTTTCAAGCTTTTTTTCAAAATGTCTAAGCTTTTAGTAAGAAAAAGTTTCGATCCCATGTGTAAACAGATCCTGAGACCCTTTAGGTAGATAAAAAGATATCCTTTTATCTCAATTAGAAAATAGATAAACATTTAAATTTACCCAGCCTACTGCCTGTTCTAAACTACTTCCTCAATTTTATCTTAGCCTTTCCAACCTCTTCAGTATAAATAAAGTACTGATTAAACCACAATTGGTTGATACATAAATGACTGAATGCTATCTCAAGGATATGGAGAGATTTTAAGCTATGTAATACACCTTCACAAAAGGTAGGGTTTTTAAAAATCAAATTAAATTTTTAAAAATGTTAAGATATTTTTGCATTAAACTGTAGACTAAGTAATTTTTAGTTTCTCTTTAAAAAGGATCTTTGAAACTACTATCTTTTACTATTTAAACATTAGATCTTAAACAATTTTAAATGCAATTCTCCAAGTGTACATTTACATATGGCCCTACTAAATTTACAAGGCACAACTTTTCATAAATAAGTATTAGATATTATGATAGCAAATCTAAGTTTCATATAGTTCCTTTCTCATATTTTTTGATTTTTAAAACCTACTTAGTTGTTTTAAACATAGAATTAGGGGTAACTAATGCAACTACCAAACTTTAACTTAAGTTCTTACATTACTTTTGGTATCTTTACATAAAAATTTTACTTGAACATTCTTACTCAATACCTTTCAATCTTATAAATAATCATAAAAATAATAAAATAGAATGTCAAAATGTGCCTTGACTCTAGGTCTATGTTTAAACTATTACCAACAACAACAAAAACACTAGTAATCTAGGCAGCTGCATACAGAAATTGGGTAATTAACAATGTTGTACATGATAAAAAATATTAATATCAATTTAATAATAATTTAAGTGAAAAGTCTCCTATTCTTAAAATACATTTCATAATTATCACCAGGTCAAGCTAATCTGAATCAGCAGCTCACATAATCTTTCTCAAAGCTCTCAATGAACTTTCCAATAACTCTCAAGAAACACAGGGAAGGAGCTGCCCTGGCTGGTGTAGCTCAGTTAGTTGGAGTGCCATCCCATCAACCAAAAGGTCATAGGTTCAATCCCTGATCAGGGCACATGCTTGGGTTGCAGGTTCAGTCCCCAGTCTGGGTGCATACAAGAGGCAACCAACTAGTGTTTCTTTTTCACATCGCTGTTTCTCTTCTTCTCTTCCTCTCCCTCCTTTCCCTTCTTTCTAAAATCATAGGAAGCTGAAATCATCTAATTTGGGGGACTGCATAGAGAACTACTTTAAGCCACACCTGTGCTTCCCAATAAGGGAGCCACAAGACACTGGTGGCTAGTGAACACTTGTAATAAGATTAGTGCAACTGAGAAACTAAATTTTTAATTGTATTTAATTATTAAATTTAAATTAAAAAACTATTGCTCAATTTAGGAACTACAGCTTTTCATTATGTTTGCAAAAAACTTGGTAATATACTAAAAAACTAGAAATCTAGTTAAATCTAAATACAGATCAAGAATTTCCAATGAAAAAATACCAGATTTACAAATACACTATGGCAGAATAAAAATATTGCTAACAAATTGTATATACATGTTAAAATATCTGATATACTGGATCAAATAGAATGCATCATTATTAACATTTATTCAACTATTCTCTTTTGACTTTTTAAACAATATCTGTAAAATCAAAACTTTTAAAAATTAGGCTCCTTAGGGTATAATTTACATGCAGTGAAACTCACTCTTTTACATATATAGCTCTAAAAATGATGACAGATGTGTACAGTCACGTAACCGCCACCATAATGAGGGCATAATACATTTTCATCACCCCCTCTGCAATCAATTCACACCTCCTACCTGCACACCATGACACCTCCGCTTTCTATCCCTATAGTTTTGCTGTTTCCAGAATGTCGCATAAATGGAATAATACAGTATGTAGACTTTTGAGCCTGGTAAAATTGAAATTTAAATACTATATCACTCTATGCTACTAACGGATTTTTACCATTCTGGTATTTCCTTTTCTTGTATTATGAACATTTTGCCAAGGCCCATGTTTTGTTATTCCATTTTCAAAACTGAGCTTTCCTCCTTGTCACTATTATAGTCACATATTCATACTCATAGAATAAAACTAAGCAGAGTGCCTTTATAGTTATTTATAAACAGGTCCTTCCTCCCTCTAGACTGCAAGCCAGAAGCCCAGCCTCTGGAACTACTATGCTTTCTACCAGGTTAACTGTCTAGTGCAATTAATAATGCAGATAACAAAACTGAGAAATTTCCCTTTGTGTTATAAAAATGAAGAAAGGAAAAATAAATGAAGTGATGAAAAAGTTTATCCTTAAGATTAGATATCCAATTATATTGAGGTCTCATAAAAACATATTAGACTATACATGATCCCAGAACTGCAATGCCAGGTAATCAGGTGCAAATGTCAGTGGAGATTTAATTTACACCAACATTTTCACCCAGACTGTTCTTGGTTTTTTCAGAGCTTGCTAACAAAGTGGAGTAAATTTGGAATAGTCTGTCTAACACTGTTTTTCTCACAGACACTTATTTCTGGTGCATGATTTTACAGAACAGAGTTTTTCAGGAACACATATACGAACGCAGAGACACCTGCACCACATGAAGGTAAAGAAGATAACTTCTATGTCGCTATCTGACCATGGGATTTTTGTAACCTTTATCTTCCCATTAGCAACTATATGAAATACAATAAGTCTTGTTTCATAAAATAACAATGTATTAATACTTACTGAAGTCTCCAGTAAGAAAAACTCCTTCGGCTCCAGGAGCCCATTCCTTGCAGTACAAACCGCCATCAGCACGTCTGTGGACCCCGAACGATTCATAACCTCTGGAAAACTCATCGATGCCACCTTCATTCTCTCCAATATCGTCCAAAGTCTGGCTAAACCGCTTATACCTTTGAAAAGTACAAAAGAAGGAAGTTACAAAATTAACTTATCTTCCAAAAAGCTACTGTAATCAAGTAACTGCTTTACTCTTATTCAGAACAGAATAAAGAAAAAAGATATCATAAAAAAGGACTAAGGTGAATAATTTCATTTATTGGTAGAGTTTACCTGGTAGCCTGTTAGGTAAAATCACGCTTTTTTTTTCTTTCTTTTTTTGGGGGGCAGGAAAAGGGGAAAGGAGGGAAAAGAGAGGGAGAGAAACGTCCATGTATAGTTGCCTCTCATATGACCCCAACCCGGGACCTGCCTGCAACCCAGGCCTGTGTCGTGACTGGGAATCAAATGGAACCTGCAACCTTTCGGTTGGTAGGGCAGCATTTAATCCACTCAGCCACACCAGCAGGGCAGTTCTTATCTTTAATACTAACTAATTCCACTAACATTTCTTTGACAATTTCAACCACTTTAGTATGAGAGAAAATACAATGTTTATTGTAGTACATGAAATTTTAAAATCAGCATTATGGCAACTTCCTTGTCGAGATAGTATAATAAAGAATATCTATCACCTCTAACTCCTAATAAAATGAAAAAAATAAAATTGTCCTACAGCGCGATTTGGCTCACTTTTCCTGTTAAGGAGCAGACAGTAAATATTTTAGGCTTCTGCAGTCACAAAGTGGTTTCTGTTAACTATGTAGCAGAAGCGGGAAAGTGGCCAAAGGCAATGTGCAAATGAAGGGTGTGGCTGTATTCTAATGAAGCTTCATTTACAAAACCAGGTGGCAAGGCAGAATTTGGTAATTTGGCCTGTGGGCTATAGTTTGTCTAGCCCCCTCTTTAGCAACTAAGTATGGAAAGAAGATAAATCAGGTCAAACTACAAAAGCTAGAGGTATGTCTATATTCAGGACTGGTTTTCTTAAAAAAAAAAAAAAAAAAAGAAAAGAAAAAGAAAAAAAAAACCTACTGATGGCTGTTTTCACTAATATCCCCCTAAATCTGGGGAGAAGCAAACTAGACGAAAACTTGTAACTTGTAAAACTACAAAAGTAAAGCATGTGGCAGTTGCTGTGTTAGAAGCAAGGGTTCCAGAACTATACAATTGAGCAATGCCAATAAGCTTTTTAAGGCATTTCCTTATTGAGTAAGCAATAAAAGCCCCAGAAAGATGAAATTAATCCACATAGGGTATATATAGGAAATATATAAAATCTGAGAAGCTGACTAATGAAGAACACCTAACTGGGGTGGTGAGTAAAAGATTTCTTCAGATCTTTCACACCACACCTCAAATTAACTAAAAATAAATTCCGCCCTGGTGGTGCCAAGTGAGAGGCAACCACACATTGATGTTTCTCTCCCTCTCTTCCTCCTCTTTCTAAAAATGAATGAATGAATGAGTAAATAAAATCTTTTAAAAAAACCTCCACTGAAGATTTAACAATGTGAGCAAGAGCAACATCTGTGTAAGACTGCAAAAATATTTGCGGGGCTATGAACACACAAAAACAAAAATTAAAAAAAAGAATTACATAAAAAGAAGAGAGCTTAAATGGCAAAACAATAGAATGAAAGGTAAAATTGGCCTACCAACCTAAGGAAACAAAAGGAGAAACAAAATATATCATTGAGAAATAATAAATGAATTAGAATTGGCAAAGAACAAGGTACACATATAACAAAACCAGCATGTCACTAGTTAAGTGAATAAATTGAAAACTGGTTATAATTAAATAAAGAAGAAAAAGACAAAGAAATTGGATATATTAAAAAGAATCTAAGAGAAATGCAAAAATTGACCCCAAAAAATCCAAATAAGGACAACTGGTGATTCTTAAGATGAAAACTAAATAAAATGGATATAAAAAATATAAAACTAGAAAATGTTTCTTAAGTAAAGCATTAAATCTGCATATCAGAAAGAGAATACTGTGTTACAAAAAAAAAGGGAAACACACAAATACAGGTGAACATCTCTCGGTTTAAGCTACTGAAATTCTACAGATAAAGAAATAACTATAGACAACCAGCTACAAAAAAGTGAGTAGAGGGGGATATTTTTTCCCCAAAGGAACATTATAACAAAGACTAAAGACCAACACAACTCTGAGAAGGGAAAGTAGTAATCTAAAGTTATTATATGGGACAAATTCCTATTCAGAATATTAAAAAATATTTAAATTGTGCCAAATTTAAAATAATTTTAAGTCTATGATACTAATGACTTAGTAGGTTTTACCCCATTCTTGAAGGGGCAAAAAGCCTACTTTCCATTAAAAAAAACTCTCCCTCCTCCCTTTCTCTCTTCCCATGTACACACTTGCCTTTCCTACCCCTTCCCTTCCTCGTATACCTTTGCTTTCTTTCTCCTAAACTCCAAGGGCCTTTCTTTCACCTCTGTAACTTGTTTCCTAAACCCAAGTAGCCCAGCTGGCTCACTTTTTCTACCTTTGTAATTTTCTAAATAAATTTTCTATTTCAATTTGAGTTCCTTTGCTCTGAATTCTTTCAAGCCAAAATCAAGTCCAAGGCTGCTGTACTGAGTTTCAACATCTGGTGCCATTTCTCTACTGACCATGTCAGTTTATTTATTTTTAAAAATTTATTTAAAGTTAAATTTAACACACACAGTTATTTTGTTCATATTTCATTATGTTATTTCTGTCTGTTATGCTATTTTTCTATTCTTTTCCTACATAAAAGCATACAACAATATCAAGAATGTTTTTCAAATATTACTCAGGACTTTTTTGGTGGTCTGTTTTTTTACTTTCTCCCTTGTATTGCTCTAATTACTTATAACAAATAAGTAATATATAAGCGAAAACTAAGAAATGTTTTTTTCTGAAACTATCTTTCTTAACCATTAAAACATGTGCACAATCCACCCTGGCTGGTGTAGCTCAGTGGATTGAGCGCAGGCCGGCGAACCAGACGATCTCGGTTTGATTCCCAGTCAGGGCACATGCCTGGGTTGCAGGCCAGTTCCCAGCAGGGAACACACGAGAGGCAACCATACATTGATATTTCTCTCCCTCTCTCCTTCCCTTCCCTTCTAAAGATAAATTAAAAAAAAAACTAATCTACATAATCCTATACAATCTTCTATAGAAAATTTACTTGGTATATAAAACTATTTTATAAAATCAGCTATTGACGTAGACTTATGGAACAAAACTGATGGTTTATCTAAATAAATCTTAAAGCCTGTAAGTTAATTATAAACTATAGATCTCTAAAAATAAAAATAACTTCTAGATCAAAGTTATAAAATGTAAATTAAAAATAAATATAATCAAACATTCCCCCCAAAATTAAGTATAAATATCCAGTAAATATTTGGGAAAAATGCTCAAATCCATACATAACTAAATAAGTAGAAAGCTGGATTTCAAAATTCTACTTTCTAACTAAAACACTAATAAACACATGATAATCTGTGTGGAAAAAGTGCACTGCAGAAAAAAGTTTCAAATACTCTTTAATGAAATAAAAGTTAGAGAATAATTTGGTATAAGCTATGAAAATTTCAAAATCACACTCTTCAACCAAATAACTCCATTTTTAGAAATTTACCCTTTGCATACATTGCATAAGAAAGCAAGGACATCCATGTGTATAAAAATAATCATTACGACATTATTCATAACACCAAACCATGGAAAATAAACTACCTCTTCAAAAAGGAGACTGGTTAAACTGTGGAACACCCAAACAACAAATTACACAACGGTCATTAAGAAGATGAAGTAGAGAGATATGTGTTTAATAGGAAAATATGTACAATATAAACTGCTTAGGAAAAGAAACTGAAAAGCAACTTTCTGCAAAGCATATATTTGTATAAATAAAACACAGGCATAAGTATGATTGGCATGCAAATCCATTTTCACAAGACCTCATGGTGGGCACCTGGAAATCTCAATGGCCTGGGGCAGGCAGTGGCCTTAAACTCCCTAAAATCACCACACTCACCACATTTGCAGGGTGAGTTTGCTGTATCCTGAGGGAAGAATAAACCACAGAATCTGATCAGTGGAGCCCAGAGGCCTATGGGAGTGGTAGGTGTGAACAGAGTATTTCACATATGACTCCTTTTTGTATATGTATGTAACGAATACACACAAACACACACACCCATTCACATCCACGGTTTTAAAAAATGCAAATTGTGTTCAATCTATTATTTGAAACAAATTAACTTTTAATGAAATGACATAATCCCAGTCTCACTGACAGCACATTCCAAGGGACACAGGAGCTAGGCAAGTATCAAAAATATGAGAAGATGGCCCAACATATGAAACAAAAAAGTGAGAGCCTGAAAACAAAAACACATGACCAACGGAGTTGGTCTTAGAGTATGGAGAGCAACGCAGAAAGGGACTCTGTAGAGTACAAACCCCACGGAAAAGCAACAGGCTCTATTTAACAGCTATAGCCTATTGCTACCAAGCATGCAGAGCTGAATCCGATAATTATTCAAGAACCAAAGAAATTTCAGCCTTTTTTTGAGCTCTCTCTAATTTAACAGTGGCAGCTGTTTCAAAATACTTAAAATACTGAATTGGACCAAAAAACTTGATGTACAGATGTCATGAAATAGTAGGTGGCAAACTCTCATACTCTCTTAAGTCCTATAAAAAAAGTTTTACACCCTGGCTGATGTAGCTCAGTGAACTGAGCACGGGCCTGCAAACTAAGGGATCTTGGTTTGATTCCCAGTCAGGGCACATGCCTGGGTTGCAGGCCAGTTCCCAACAGGGGACGCACAAGAGGCAACCATACATTGATATTTCTCTCTCTCTCTCTCTTTCCCTTACCCTCTAAAGATAAATAAATAAAATCTTTAAAAAATAAAAAAGTTTTATTTTACCCTCTATAGATATCACTCAGCCATAACTCTTGGTATGTGGAGGAAACTCTCATCTGTATTGAACCACATAAGTAATAACATTCAACATAATTTGGACCTAGGGTAAAAAATAAATACATATACATATATA